AAAAAACGTGCAAAGAGGGTGAAGGCAATTTTTTATCAGCAACATCTAGTGTCAGAATAAAAGCAATGGGTAAACAAAACTGAAATGTAGGGATTCCTGCCTAAACATTAAAAAATAATTTCTGTGAAAGCGATCAAATACTGGGGAAGTTACAGAGGGATGGTGTGCATTTATAAAGTATAATTATCTCCTGGAGATAATTAAAACCCAACAGGGCCTTAAAACTCAGCAATTCTGTGACTCTTTAGAAATTGTAGTAGAATATAATTGATGGGCAATATTAGCATTTTATTTTTTAGACATCTTAATTTGGAAGATTTCAGACTTGGTAATGAGGGGGCAGAGCATCAGTGGGGAGGGCTAGCTAGAGACTAGATTTATTTAGGGTTATTGAGGTTTCTAGAGCTCTTGGAGCAGGTTCCAGAGCAGGGCCACTAAGGTGATCAGAGGGCTGAAGCAGAATGTTCTGGGTTGGAAGGGTCCTCAAGGATCATCAAGCTCCAACACTTCCCCCTCCCCACCACAAGCAGGGACACCAACCTCTAACCAGTCTGCTCAGGGTCTCATCCAACCTGTCCCTGAATGCCTCCAGGGACAGGGCATCCGCAGCTTCTCTGGGCAGCTCTCTCTGTGAAGAACTTCCCCCTGACATCCAACCTAAATCCATTTCCCCTTGTCCTATTGTTATCTACCCTTTCAGACAGTTGGCTCTTCTCCTGTTTACAGGTCCCTTTAAATACAGGAAGTCTGCAATTAGGTTACTCCACAGCTGCTTTTTCTTCAGGCTGAACAAGCCCAGCTCCCTCCGCCTGTCTTCATAGGGGAGGTGCTGCAGCCCTCTGATCATCTTTGTGGCTCTCCTCTCCTTTCCAACATCTGTCTTTCTTGTACTAGAGGCTCCAGACCTGGACACAGTACTCCAGATGGGGTCTCACAAGAGCAGAGTAGAGGGGGACAATTACCTCCCTGTCCCTGCTGGCCACACCTCTCCTGATGGAATCTAGGATTCCATTTGCTTTCCAAACTGCAAGAGCACACTACTGGCTCATGTTAAGTTTTTTACCCACAAGGACTCCCAGGTCCTTCTCTGCAGGGCTATTCTCGAGGACTGCTCTCCAGTATGTACATTGAGGGAAAGATTGGAGGAATTGGGCTTGTTTAGCTTGGAAAAGACAAAGCTCTAGGGAGACTGCATTGTGGCCTTCCAATTCTTGAAGGGAGTGTATAGACAGGAGGGGGAATTATTGTCTACAAGGGGGGATGGTTTTAAACTAAGACAAGAGAGGTCTAGGTTTGACAGTAAGAGGAAGTTTTTCACCCAGAGGGTGGTGAAGCACTGAAATATGTTGTAGAGAGAGGTTGTGGATGCCTCATCCCTGGAGGCATTCAAGGCCAGGCTGGATGTGGCTCTGAGCAGCCTGGTCTGCTGGTTGGTGACCCTGCACATAGCAGGGGGGTTGAAACTAGATGATCATTATAGTCCTTTTCAACCCAGGCCCATTCTATGATCCTCTGTATGTATGCACAATTATTCCATTCTTATTATTATTATTATGAGGAATTAGGAGTGTGAGTAACGTTCCTACAGGAGGCAATGGGATGAGGTCAGACTCTTCTCAGTGGTGTGTAGTGATAAGACCAGGAACTATGGCCAAAAACTGGAACATAGAAAGCTCCTCACAAATATGCAGAACTCCTTTACAGTGAGGGTGATGGAATACTGGAACTGGCTGCACAGAGAGATTGTGGAGTCTCCTTTGGAGGTATTCATGACTCATCTGGACACTTACCTTTGTGACCTACAGTAGGGAACCTAGTTTAGCTGAGGGATTGGACTTGATCTCTAGAAGTCCCTTCTGCCCCCTGCAATTTTGCCAGTAAGGACTGCAATATCCAAGTTGAATGCACATTTCTCTTCTTAGTAAAACCAAATTACCAATTCTGATTATGCTAGAGAACAGGAAGATGGGGCATTCCAAGAGAACTTACTCTTAATTATATTTCTTCTTTTACTGCAAATGGAGTATCATCTGTTCAATTTTTTTATGTTTTCTGGCTCCAGATCTCTTGCTGACAGGAGTGTGTGGATAAGTCAAATGCACAAAGAGCTTCAGAGCAGGAAAACAGGCTCTGCTGAAGATTAGGAAAAAACTTTTCACTCATTCATAAACACAAAATCTAGAAGACGGATTTCCCAGATTATTTTGTTTGGAAAATATGCTGAGCAGATAAAATAGAGGTATAAAGCTTATGGTAGTATGGTTAGAATGAAACTACCCCGCATGGGTTGTAAACAATCAAACGAGCAATTAAAGCAGACAGTGTTATGTTTTCTTTCTACTCCAAGGGCGAGAAATGAACTGTGTTGTTTCCAATTAGAAACAAGGAGGGAATCTGGTGAACAGGATATAAATATTGGTACAGGTATTGAGGTTAACATTCATAACTTATTAAAAATGTAACGGAATGCTGTAACCATTTGTATCATTACATAAATTGTACATTTTGATTATATTCATTCCCTTGACTAAGGGGATGTGCCTGAGAAGATCATGGAACAGATCCTCCTAGAAGACATGTTAAGACACATGAGGGATGAGCAGGGGATCTGAGACAGCCAGCATGGCTTCACCAAGGGGAGGTCTTGCCTGACCAATCTGGTGGTCTTCTGTGATGGAGTCCACCCTGGTGGACAAAGTGAAGGTGACCAATGTCATTTGCCTGGACTTGTGCAAAGCCTTTAAATGGTTCCCCACCACATCCTTATCTCTAAATTTCAGAGATACGGATTTGAGGGGTGGACTATTTGGTGGATAAGGAATTGGTTGGAACAGCTGTAGGCTTTTGATCAATGGCTCTATGTTGAGGTGGAGTTTGGTAATCAGCTCTGTGCCCTGGGGATCTGTCTTGGGTCCAGTACTCAACATCTTTATCAGTGGCATAGAAGATGCAATTGAAGGTACCCTCAGCAAGTTTACTGATGACACCAATCTAAGTAGTACAATTAATACAGCAAATTAAAAAAAAATACTGTATTAAAAAATTTAATTAAAAAATTAAAATTAAAAAAGGGTTGGCATCCAGAGGATAACAAAGCAAAATGCAACATTTTGCTCTTAGGCTGAGATAATCCCAGATACATATATAAAAAGGGAGAAGAAATCCATGACAGTAGCCATGCTGAGAAGGACTTAGTGATTCTGGTTGATGAAAAATTTAACGTAAGCCTTCATGGTAGCAATGGTAATGGGAGGATGGTTGGACTAGATGATCTTGTAGGTCATCTAGTCCAACCTTGTGATTCTATGATCAAAGCTGAGAATTTCATTAAGTCCAAAGGACTGAATCATTGCAAATTCCAGGAGTTCCTGTTTATGGGTTCATCATTTACTTTTCTGAAGGAAGGTGGCTAAGTTGAGGTAAGATGCTAAAGAGGCTTTATGATTTCCAAAGTGGCATCAAGTCCTTTGTGAATCAAAAAGAAAATTTGTGCCAGAATGTGAAGATTAAAAATGTATCACAAATTTTTGGTGGATTTGACCGCTCATTTAAATGAGTTAAACGAACAACTTCAATGTAAAAGCCATCATATCTGTTGTATATTTCAGACAATAACAGTATCTGAAATGAAACTTAAATTGTGGCAAGCTCAAGTTATGGAGAATAATTTCATGCATTTTGATACAATGACTAAACACAGTCCTGTGAACAGTGGAAAATATGCAGCTGTGTTTTCCATTTTGATAAATAAATTTGAGAATAGATTTCAAGATTTCAAAATAAGATATCAATTTTTTTTGTGTATTTGCAATTCCACTTGCAGTTAACATAAATATGTTACTTGAGAATTTTCACACAGAATGTGAAGAGTTGCAATCAGACATTCAACGAAAAATGGTTTTCTGTACCAGACTTTCATAAGCCCTTTCTTAACAAAGAAAAATACTTCATAGTCACACCTTAGTCATGTCATCATTTTTGACATGTCATCATGTCATCATGTCATCATTTTTGGCAGTTTGGCAGTTTTTGGCAGTACATTTATTTTCAAACAATTATTTTCAAGTATGAAGCACAGGAAAAGTAATTGCATCAAAAAATCTCTGATGAACACCTTGAGAATTCACTGAGAATGACAACCACCTCAACTGAGCCAAACTGTTGAATTAGTTTCACAAAAACAAGGCCAAACATCTCACTACCTTTATGTTTCTGTTGCTCTCTGTTGCTTTTTTAAGATTTAATTGAAAACAAACAAACAAACAAACAACCCCACATAAAATAAGCCTTGTTACTTAAGTACATTAAATGTATTATATATTTTATACATCCCCAAGCAAGCCAGAAGGTTGGACAATTATGGTTTAAGAATTATGGTATATATTATGCGGGAGGAGAATTATTTTATAATAGGACTTGTCTCCTATATTGAATATTTCTGCTATTTGTGGGGTTTGAAGAGATGTGAAGGAAAAGACCTAGGAACCCTTGTTTTCTGAAATCTAGGTACCTTAGTGGGATCTATCAGGGGATAAATCAGCTTTATTTTTCTATCAAATAGTGAACAACACGTGAATAACACTGATAACTTGATCTTATATTGTTGACTCCTAACAGATGAAATTTGGTCTTATATTGCACCTGCATGTTCTGTTGCTGTTTAGTTAATTATTGTGAAGTCTGATGCTTGAACCATCTCTTTCTGGAGAAAGAAAAAAAAAAGGAAAAAAAGAGTGAGGAATGTTTTCAAGATTCAGATTTTACACTTGGGAAATATTTTGTTCAATATAAAATGTTTTAATAGTCTGCTTTATGGTTCGTTGGTGCAGTCTAGCTTTTTAAAGCAAGGAATATGATCGTTCATGTTGTATTTCTCTGCCCATTTCTTTTATTTATTTTGTTCTAATATTCAAATTTCTATAAGCAGGTGAGCAAGCTGAGGCAAAGAAAGTAGTAGTAAAGAAAGTAGTAAAGAAAGTAGTAAAGAAAGTAGTAGTAGTTTTGGTCACTGCAACTGCATTGTATTTTCATGTACCATGATATTTTATAGACTATTTTAAATGAAAAGGTTTTTTAATGTTAATCTGCTTCTAGGAAAACTCACACTATTGTAGGTATGGTGGTGAAGTGGCTTCAAGATGTACCAGTGTCGATTCAGGCTGGATGTTAGGAAATACTACTTCTCTGAAAGAGTGGTCAGGCTCTGGACTGGGCTGCACAGGGAGCTGGTGGAGTCACTGACCCTGGAGGTGTTCAAGGAACATTTGGACTTGTGTTGAGGGACATGGTTCAGCCATTGTTTGGCTATTGGTGATCAGTGGACGGTTGGACTGAGTAATCCTGAGGGTCTTTTCCAACTTCGGTTATTCTATGACTCTATGAATTAAATACTACTTTAGTTAGCCAGCAGAACATACACAAGTGAGCAAGCCTTAGTCCTGAAATGATTTGGCTTGCAGGCTACATGCTATGGTCTTAGTATAAGCTCACTCAGTGAATGGCACAGTGCATGTGCACAGTGAAGACAAAGTTATCATTAGGTGGCTTGTCTCATTATCTCCTTTATTTCCTTGGGGCTTTGCCAAGCACACAGTGAACATAAGAAGTGTAACAATGATAATAATTCCTTGGAGTCGTATTTAAGGTTTGCCTGCAAGCAGATACTGTATAATGAAAGGTCAACTTTCAGTAGATAGAAATAGGACAAGGAAATACTTAATCTATTAGAAAGCTGTGCATAAGTCTCTCTCTGCTGTTGTATTAAATATGACTAAAAATTGTGTCAGGCCTAGATTTCCTATGGTGACAATAGATTTCTACAGTTACCTGCATTAGTGAGGGCCGACACAGCATGTAGTTCTGCAGCAATCCAAGGCTGCAGAGCTTCTTAAATTGATGCCAGGAGTATAGTGCCGTAACGCATCTCATCTTGTCCTATGCTGCACATGCCCTTTCAATTAACTGTACCTTTTAAAGTACAGCTGTACAAGAAATAAATATGATTGCTACCCCTAAAACAGCCGCAAAGTTTTTCTAAAGATCTCCATCTCTTGTGGCTTGATGATATTTTTAAAAACATGCTGGCCAATGAAAGGTAAGGATAAAATATAGCCAGAGTATGAGTTTAAGGACTTCTATGAAATCCCTTGGAAAGTTTTAATTTAGAAACCTACAGAAAATTAAATATTACATAAATTAGGTAGCTTTTTTATTTTCTCATTATGTCTGCTTTTGAACTGCAACTTAAATGTGAAATTCCACATGCCTTTGTAGCAGGACAAACTGCAAAGATTTATGCACAACATTATCTCTTCATGAACTATGTAAAATTATTAGTTTCAGGAATCCTTTTCAACATTCACAGGTCACTGCAGAGTGAGAATGTACTTCACAAAGAATCCTCCCTTATAGTGGCGTCAAAATCAAAGCTCTGTCAATAATGATTTCACCAATTAATTCCTCCTCTTCCAGGTATACAATGAAAATCTCAGAAGTTTAGCTTTAATTCATAAGTTGTGGTCCATAGTCAGCCATAGTTAGAGGTGATTTCTATGCCACTCTTCTCAGGGCTTTGGGAGTACATGAATGTTTATTATCACTCTTCTACTGATTTTGCACCAATTTAGTAGTTTCATCATGTTTCTGTCCTGTATTCCTAATAAAGTCATTTCTTGAATCATGTGTATATTTATTAACTTTGGGGAAAGTACTGAAAAAGAAAATAAGAGTAATGGTACTGTCTAAAGACTTATATTCTGATGCTATATATTCCAGATCTGTTGCAGAAGCCACAGAGGTTGATCTCAACATGAGAGTTGGATTACATACAGGAAGGGTGCTTTGTGGGGTCCTAGGTCTCCGAAAATGGCAATACGATGTCTGGTCAAATGATGTTACTTTAGCCAATGTAATGGAAGCTGGAGGATTGCCTGGGTAAGTCTCAGAAAGACCTATAGAAAAAGAACCAGAGACCATGTTGGTGAATAATTTCCTCCTTCGTCCCACTTGCACTGTACTTGCTATTCATAAGAAGGGTTGAGAGTTGTGTACAGTAAGAGCAGCAACTGCATTATCTCCTGTGGAACTGTGCAAATGACCTTGAAGTTTTTGTTCTTAATAGATTGGAAGTAAAATTTTGAAAAGCAGTAGAAATAAGTTCTCTTAGTAAGTGTTTTCCAAACTCCTTTTTAGAAACTGCCACATAGAAAGAGAAGAAATGAGACAGCACTAGGAAAGTAAAAATGCTAGACGTTCATAATCATTTGAAGTTATAAAAGTAAAGCTCCCTATACACTTCAGGAATTTTTGGATTCGTACACAGGAAGGGGGACAGGAGGGTATACATATGTTCCTTACTCTACTTACAAGGACAAGTAGTCAATACTAGTTGTCTGCTGCCAAAAGAAAATACCTGCTTACATGTTCAGATATCCATCATGTGTCTGCAGATGATACAGTAGTACATAAACCTGCAGCCATTGCATGAGGCATGCCTTGGAATTTTAAGTACTCCTTGGACAGCCTTGGACTCAATTTAAGTGGACACAGTGCATCAGTACACCTCTTCAAATGCAACTTGCATTTGAACTACAATCTTGCAATCTTTGTTAGATTTTTACAAGATTTTGACGTTCTGAACAGGGGAACAATGGAGCCTCTTCATTTTTCTGTCTGAGTGAATTTCTGTTTGCTATATACGTTTAAGAGAGTTTAAACAATGTTTCTGAGTATTCCTTACCTTGAGGCTTCCCAGTTTAAAAAAAAAAAAAAAAAAGAAAGTTTGTAACAGCTTTTCAGATACCTTGTAGAAAGTCATTTCAAATATGAATGATCTTTCAGGAGAAAATGTGAAGATAGTTTTCTGTATATGCAGTCTCACATGTGTCAAAAATGTATGTGCTTCCCAAGTACAGTGGATGAGAAATCTGCCCATAAAACAGAGTAAGTAAACAGTGCATTTGAGAACTGTTAAGGGAAACAGGATGAGAACAAAAATTTTTTATCTTTTATGCACTTAAGAGGCTAGGGTTTTTTTTCCCCACAACAGACAGAGAGATAAATTAACAAAATTACACAATATGAAAGATGATGTGCAGACTTCCACTTTCTACCAATCAAGAAGTCTGCAAATCTTTGGAGATATTGCAGTTACCATTTTGCTAGAAATACTTTGATTTATGTGGCTAAATATACATATCCTATTATGATCTTTTGCACAGTAGCAACTAGTGACGTATCACTGCTTTAAAGAAGGTCCCGTTTTTCTCTCCAGGAAAGTTCATATTACAAAGACCACCCTAGAGTGCCTAAATGGGGACTATGAAGTAGAACCAGGATATGGCCATGAAAGGAATAGTTTCTTGAAGAAACATAATATTGAAACATACTTTATTGTGCCATCCCACAGGAGAAAGGTAGGCTCTACAAATTCTAGGTTATTCTGTAGCATGGTTTTGTAGCTTAACAACTGTTCTGTGATACTTTGAAAACAGAGGCAATGCTGGCATTTCTTCTTTCTAAAAGAAAGCTTCAAATTAGATTTTTTTTTTTTTTTAATACTGAGACAGTAAGTCTAAAAAAAAAAAAAAAAAAAAAAAAGCTAATCTTAAGTTATTGTACAAGGTTATCAATGAATTTTAAAATTACAATTACTCATTTTACTCCACAAAAATATTAAAATTTTGATTTATTAAGATTTTGTAATCATTGTATCAGAAAGAAGATCCATCAGTCCAAAAATGTAGTTCATACCTATTTTGCTTCCCTAATCACTAATGTTTCAGATCACTAACGCTTGACGGCTTGCCTGTTTTTCTTTGCTCTTTCATTCCCATATTGCCATGTCATTTTACTCATGCCCTCCTCATAACTCCTTATACAATCACTTGTGATACTGGTGACTCCCTTGCTAGGCCTGTAGGAATCCCTAATGCAGAAAAACTAGTATTTTCAGACATGTCATGCCCTTAGCAGAAAGGATGGTTAAACGAGTTTAGTAGTAATTGAACTAACACTCCCCAGAAATCTAGAAATCTTGCCAAGCTACAGAACATAAGTCTTTTTATCTAAGTCACAGGCAGGAGTCAACTGTTGTGCTTTCAAATATATATACACCAGTGTACCACAGATCAGTTATTTATGCTCAAGTCAAGTAAGTTTCCTAATATGATCACAACAGATAATATATTCATTGCCCAAAGCACGCATTTTGTCCTGCTAAGCTGAGCTGCTCATAACAAACTAAAAATAATTTTCCCTACTTGTTCTGCCACCTCAGACTACTGTATTGAACATAGTAATCTCTTCCCTATCACAGCCACCTTCTGCACAGATTTTATCATGCTCCCCTCTCCCTTCAGCCTATTCCTTTTGTCAGACCCCTAGAAAAACTACTGGGGGAAGAGAAGTGAGTGGTCAGAACTGCAAGGAACAAGAATGTTTTCTGCTCTTTTCTTCCTTTTGGAGGAGAACAGAGAATTGAAAATGTGAAAAGAACAAGGTAAGAGAAGATTTTAGCTGATTTGAGCAGGAACTTCACTTCTTAGATGTTGTTCAGGATTTAGCATCACTGACAGAAATGGCTGTGACTCCTCATTCTAGATGGATCTTCAGAATAAGGAGAGTCCCAGCAGTGTAATGGTAACTGAGTGTTAGCATGTAGTGAAGTCAGTGACCTTTAAGCAGCTTCATTCAGTTACTTCTTTCTTCCTCAGTTAGTGACAGCTCAAATCCTGAAAACTTCATTCAATTTAGTATTCATGGTTTAAAACAGCATAAGAAATAATCATATTTAGGACAACCTTTATACTGTAAAAAACATTGTGACTTCAGTAGGATGTCTTGCAAGTCCATACTTATCATTTAAACATAACTAGTTTGTTCAAACATTTTCAACATCGAATCAAGCTTCTCTTAGTTAACTGGCATAATATGTTTACATGTTGAGAAGGTCTTTATTGTTCTTTAAACTTTTTGAGCTAGAAAAGTCAGAATACAGATCTTTTACCCTTATCTTCCGAGATTGCCCAAACAAGGTTCATTCAGGAATTTGATCTGTAGAGGGAAATTTTAATAATCAGGTCTGAAAGTAAGTACAAAAATGAAGATGAGGCTTTAAAGCAAATTAAAAGGCCTATTCTTGAGGGTGTTACTAAACTTCCACTAACAGGTGTTTAACAAAAAGGCAACAAAGAAAAACAAATTATCTCAAATGTCAGGTCTACAGTCAGTTTTCTAGTGTGAATTTGATGATTTATGGAGATTTTTTGGAAGCGTTGGATGTCAGGTCACCAGAGTTTTCAGATTCTAGGAATGAAAATTCTGTTGTTTTATCCCTAAAAGGCTGCTATAAGATTGTGTTACTGTGTGCTTCTTCTAACACAACTTGTTTTTAGAGAGATGTTCTTCTTGAAATTATTTTATTCTTTGTCCTTATTTTATTCTTCTTCTGCTGCTACATACAATTAAATTTGTTTCTATATTTTTAATGAAATAGAGAAAACCAGTGGGTTATATTCTGTTTCCATCAACAGTGATATTTTTTGTTAGTTTTCTTGAAAATAAAATTAGTTCCTAAATTATCAAATCCCCCCAAAATTCCACCAAAACTTCAAGCAAACTCATAAAGAAGATTATTCATTAAGATAGATATGTTGCTGACTGCAGCTACAATTGTTTGCTTTGTCTTAACCACTGTTTTGACTCCCACAGCATTATGTATATTTCATTTTCCATGTTGCATGTCAGGCTTCATTTTGTATTTATATGATAAATAAGAACTAAATTTTAGGAAAATTTTGGCTGTGTTGGTAGACAACAAGAAGAGGGAAAAGGGGATAAATGCAGCCATTACACATAGAAACTGTTCTCTTAACTCCACTGCATAAAACAGTGGTCAAAGAATTTTCAATAGAATCTTGACATTTGCATATTAAGCCACTCAAACATAGGTTTAATGTACAAAGATGAGGAGTCTACACACAAGCACATTTCTTTTTGTTTGTAAGACTGCTGGGAAACAAGTGATTGATTAGTACCAGCTACATAAACTAAATGCCATTTCACCCATGGGTGTTGCTGATGAGTTTGTGGAAATGACAGATGCTGTTCTACAGCTTGGCTGACATCACCTCTCTGGCATCGACAGAGTGTCAGCCAGTCTAACAGAAAGACTTCATGAGTTTTACTGGTATTGACAGGCTTCTTCACGGTACTCACAGAATAATCAACATGTCACTCTGCTATTTGTCACATAGCTGTGATTTACTCTGCTATCTCCTGTCTTTGTAAACTTGTATGCTGATAACTGGACCACAAGATACTAGTAAATACATTCATAATAGTATATTGAGATAAATAAAGACCTGTAATCCCCTCCTATCTTGATTCAGTCAAGAAATCTTCAGAGACAATGGAAGAGAAGGCTGCCCTTGAAGCACAGAGAAGATTGAGTAGGTGAATTTAGATATCTGATGATATAATATTGTATCCGCTCCTCAGGAGCCCCAGTAGCTGAAATGCAGAAACATTTTTATTCTTTATGCATCATCTCTGAAATTAATTTGAGCTGACTACAGCAGATATGATGTCAAGAGGAATGAAAATTAGTATTACCAGCAACAGATGGCCAAGAATCTGTTGAACTTAAAAAGGTAAATAGGATCGGTTAGTACTTTAAAAAAAAACAAAAAAACAAATTTATTTAGTAAACAGATACTTCACATTCTCCCATATTTTATCTGGGAGAAATGTCTTCCCTTAGTTGATCAACAGCATATATTATTCGCATACCAGTTACATTTTAAGTGTGAACAAATTATGAAGTATTCCCAATTATTTTATTCTTTCACTGAATCAACAACCACGATTTTGTTATCTGATATGACTGCCAGCATGGTGTAGAAGCCAAAACGTGACAGCACAGGTAATGAAATTAGCCACTCTTCTCTTACTCCTGCAACATTAACTAATATTTGGCTGTGACCTCAGTGATAACTAGGTAAACTTTTTTCTGAACGTACTTGCATTGTCTACATTAAACAACTCTCTGCTTATAACTCTAGTTTTAGAAAGACTTTTTGATTATTTTCACTGAAAGCAAACAGTTCCACACAGACAATTTAGCAAATTTCCTAAGATTCTTCTCTGGAAAGCCAAATAGTGGTTAAGAAATAATCAAGTTTTTCCAAGTAGAAAGATTTCTCATCATGTGAGTGCTTGCTTTACAGAAGGAGGCCTGCCATCACTATTACTCATTGCCAGCTTAAGGGAACCTACTTCACTGAATAACTTCACTAGTTCCAGAATTAGGGCAAAGAAAAATAATGCAACAGAAAATTAATAGTAGACAATAGAATTGTTTCCGGGAAAGGAGTCTACAGAAGGTAAGAAAATAATAGGTAAAGACTATAGTTAAATTTTATAAAGGATTCCTGTATATTAATATACAATGGATCCTACAACATATCTTGACTGTAGCAAGCAGTTAGCTTCTGATGGATTGCAAATTACCATCTGCAACATTTCTACTGATGTGCTAATCAGTTATTCACCAACTATGTACATATTTGAATATGTATATTCAAAGCTGTTTATCTTTTATTTGTGACAATGTAAATCACAGTACACACTAGATGGAGATACTATTTGAACAGTATGTGATGGACATTCATGAAGAGTCTGTACTGCATCTGTTCATGCTTTAAAAACAGGCTGTAAAATGAACGTAATGCAAAATAATATAAAAACATCAGAAGAATGCCCGAAAGGGAATTACACATTTTTTCAACTTTTCTGTACGTATACATTTCTGAAAGGGCTGACATTTGTCCTTTCTACCTTACATTGTACATACAGGAACATGCCAGGCAGCCTCAGAAAATCATTTTTGTGTGTTGGATTGTCATGCTATACTGTATGAAGTCTGAATAAAGCTATGACCACTGTGAAAATCCTAAGTAAAAGGGTTTACACCCTTTCTGATACGTCCAACAGGAAGGAAGTAGATGCCAGTTAACAGGAAGGCATTATTTTCTTTAACATATTTCTCCTCAGCAAATCATGCCCTAAATGTTCTAAAGTCAGTAGCTAAAATTCTATTTTATTTTTGCCCAAATAATAATCATAGCCACACACAAGTACCAGCAGTCTGTCTGAAAAAGAGAACTTAAAGTAGTAGTTGAGGGAAACGAGTATAGTCATTCTTATAATTTCAGGAAAAGCACATTGAAAACCTGAAGGTTCTTAACATGAATGCTCTTACAATGCAAACACAGCTCAGGAGAATCTTTCCGAAATTGCTACTTAAAGTGTAAGAGCTCTTGTAAGAGTTAGAAATCAATTATCTACAGCAAGCACTTGTAGCATAATTTAAAGTGAAATGCAGATGGATATAACAGTCCAAAATATAGATGGATTTAACAACTCCAAATGTTGAATTCAATCAGTTAATTTGTTTGACTCATGATACACTCAACAGACATTCAGCAATCCAGAGATATGTTCTAACTTGCATGACAACAGCTGTAAGAGAAGTAGGCAAAGGCTGTCACATCGCTGTCATACTTTTTTTACATCTAGCATAAACAGATGCTATTTTAAACTTCTTGCGTTACAGTCTTGTCAGCAAGTAGTTAGAAAGTAAACAAGTTACCCTCCTGCTTGAAGAGACAGTATTTTTGATTTACAGTCCAACATCTTTCTTTACTGTTAAGGAGAGTAAAGTCTTTCCATAAAGTAAATTATAAGCATTTAATGTTAAATAAGTTACTAGTCTCTATTCTTCTCTACCACAAGTAATAGGCTTTACCTGCTTATGTCCTTCCTCTAGGACATTATTTTCCTCCAGAATCAAATTAATTTCATGCAATAGCACAGAGCAGACAAAACAGGTAGTTTCATAATTACTACTGTGCTTTGTATAGATGAAATACATAGTACGCATGCTTGCCCTTTCACTTAATTTGTAGATCACTTCTATCCATGAACCATTGTTAGCAATTACAGCATTTCACAAGCACAACTTCTCGTATAGACTCTTCAGATAATTTCCTTTATGTCTTAATGATATTTTTTTTAAGTGCAGAAATTTAATGTATATAATTCCTGTACCACTTTAACTCAGAGTAAGAATTTCAACTTGGCAAAGTGTGATGCTTTAATGTGATGAAAAGTACTGCAATAAAACAGAGGCAGCGAAGTTTTTAGCTGCAACAGCTACAAATTCAGAAACAAAAAGAGAAAGCTGCTTACCTTTAAAAGGCCTCAAGTAGAAAGAAATCTCTAGTAAGAGATGCACTTGCCTCCACTACCAACCCATAAATGAGGTTTGGGAAGGGGTGGATGCTGACTACACCCCTTCTACATTACATGCACCTGAGTTCCCCTGGGTTGGATCTGCCTTCCCATCAAGTGCTCAATCACTGTTTCAGGCTGTGACTTGTATTTCCACTATACTGGGAAACATATTCTCAAAAATAATCTCAGAATTTAATGCTGAAAATATTTTTTAAGTATCATCATGTGAACAACTGGGAAAAAAAAAAGGAAGGGAAAGCTGAGTGGGTAAACTCTGTGAAAGAATGAGTCTAAAATTACTTAATTTACTTAATTATTTTTATTGTTGTAATTCAACCTGAAGTTTCATCTGTATTTGTAAGCAGTTGCCTTCTCAGCAAAATTAATTTGATTAAACAACTCTAGTGAATAACTCTACATGTCTTTCTTGTCCCAGGGGCCCCAGGCCTGGACGCAGCACTGCAGATGGAGCCTCACAAGAGTCGAGTAGAGGGGGTCAATCACCTCCCTCTCCCTGCTCGCCACCCCTTTTTTTAATGTAGCCCAGTGTATAGTTGGCCTACAAGTAGCCCAGTATATAGTTGGGGCTGCAAGTGCACATTGACGGCTCATGTCCAGCTTCTCATTCACCTGGACCCCCAAGTCCTTCTACACAGGTCTGTTCTGAAGGAGTTCTTCCTCCAGTCTGTATAAATACCTGGGATTGCCCTAGTCCAAGTGCATTACCTTGTGCTTGACCTTGTTAAACCTCATTAGGCTGACATGGGCCCACTTCTCCAGCCTGTCCAGGTCCCTTCCCTTCACTGAATCAACTGTACTGCTCAGCTTGGTATCATGTGCAAATTTGCTGAAGGTGTACTTGATTCCATCATCTATGTTTTTGATTAAATTGTTGAAGAGCACCAGTCCCAAGACCAACACTTGGGGACATCACTTGTGACAGGCCTCCACCCAGACGTAGAACCGTGGACCACAATCCTTTGGCTGTAACGAGCCAACCAGTTCTTAATCCATCAAACAGTCCATGTTTCAAATCCATACCTCTTTAAGTTAGAGAGAAGGATATAGTGAGGGACCATGTCAAAGACTTTGCAGAAGTCTAGGTAGATGACATCTCTTGCCCTTCACCTGTCCACCAATGCGGTCACTCATAGAAGTCCACCAGATCAGTCAGGCACAATCTGCCCTTGATGAATCCATGCTGGCTGTCTCGGATCACTTTTTCATCTTGTACATGCCTTAACATGGTAACTCAGAGGATCTTCCCAAGCATGGAGGTGAGGCTCACCAGCCTGTAGTTCCCCGGGTATTCCTTTCTCCCTTTCTTAAAAATGGGAATGATGTTTCCCTTTTTCCTGTCACCAGGGATTTCACCTGACAGCCATGATTTTTCAAATATGATGGAGAACACCTTGGCGACCACATCAGCCATCTCTCTCAGAACCCTAAGATGGATATCATCTGGCCCCCTATACATTCATTTTCATGAGGAGTTCTCAGACTTGTTCCACTGTTACAGTGGGACACAATATGCTCCTCTCACCCATACCTAGATGTTCAGGGTCCTGGCCAACACGGAGAGCCTGACCACCAGTGAAGACTGAGGCAAAGCACTCATTGAGCACCTCAGATTTTTCCATGTCTGAGGAAGCCAGTTCTCTGTCCTCATATATCAGAGGTGGAATATTCTCCTTGGCCTGTCTCTTCCAGTCTGTGTACCTGTAGATCCTCTTATTATTATTTTTCACTTCCCTTGCCAAGTTCAGCTCCATCTGTGCCTTGACTTTCCTAATCCTTTCTCTACACATAAAAACAATGTCCCTGTATTCTACCCAGGCTACATAACCCTGCTTCCACTTCCTGTACATTTCCCTCTTTTCCCTCAGTTTAAGCTGAAGGTCCTTGCTCAGCCATGCTGGTTACCCACCTCCTCTGCTCAATTTCTTCTGCTGGGGGATGGAGAGCTCTTGTGCTTATAGAAGGGTGTCCTTAAAGAGCTGCCAGCTCTGTTCTGTTCCTGCCTCCTCAAGGACAGTTTCCCTTGTTTGAAGTGCTAGAGCTCTGATTCCTCTACTCTAGGTAGTAAGAGAATAAGAGAGATGTTTGCAGTTAATGCAGAGCATGTGAAAACTTCTCAAACTAGTCAGACGTACTGTCTCCGCTGTTAGCACACAGCAAGTTCTTACTTGGAACAACCCAAGTTAGGCATCTGAGCTTACATGCTGTGGACACACACTGTGATGATTTCTGTTTTCTTTTCTTTCCTCCAGCTACCATTTCTGTCATGCTTCGGAGTGTCCACTGTGATTTTTGTTCTGAATGGCTGACAAGTCTTACTGGGGATCTTATCTAGGTTTTTTAAATGCCTAACTTGGATCTTTCAAGTTTCAATACCCCAGTTACACTCTAGCAGATCTGACTTAAAAGACATATATATAGCCCTTTAAGAGAAATTGTAGCTTGTTTCTAGTTGCTGGAATATACACACACCAACAATGGAAGTTGCCTGTGTGTGTTATCACTAGCAAACACAGTACTATTCTGTACCTTCATAACTGTTCCTGCAGTTGCCATGAAGCTGTTACTGCACTGTCAGCAATGTGATAGTCTACAGCTTGGACTATCTGGACTACCACTGATGGTAGAATTCATTATATACTGTAATGTTCTCCTCTCTTTTTTTTTTTTTTTCCCCTTCAGAAACACGGATTCTTTAGAAGGGAGAAATGCAGGGAAATTGTATAGGATTTCTCTTTTGTTGAACTCTCAGAAATTGTTTTAGTCTTCACAGCTACTAAAAACTTCTATTTCTGTGTTAAGTAATGGCTATGCCATTCTAAGTGCTAGTAGCTTGTTTTATAGAACTATGTTGCTTAATGATAAAAAGATACTAAATATTTTTCTGAGAGTTAGCTGAGGAGTGGTAAGCAAAAGGATAGAAAAGCAAATGCCTAATCATACATTTTTAAAAAATACAGTTTGCTCACTTATCTCAGGACAAAACGATAATCAGGAAGTTCAATGACTAATCAGGACTTTCAATGACTTGAAGATAAAAAACACAGACAAATACAATGCTACCACATTTATGGCTACTGTAAATATACCTTGAATATCATTGATATCATCTATCCAGTGTTGTTTTAAGCATTGTGGCTGAATCAGGGTGGCAGTGGTCTGCTGCTGTTTCTGAGAATCCCAGATAAGCGTCAATTTATCCCTTATCATAGTATCATGAGATTCAAACACAGGTCTTTTCTCAGAATTTTAATCAGCTCTTGTATGTTTCTGTGTACTAAAGGATGTTCACAAAGCTGTAGATAGTCTGGCTGCTTTCAAAGTGCTCTTAATCTTATTTGCTGATTATTTTGCTGCGAAGCAACAGCCTTTCTAAAATTATATACCAAATGAACTGTGTACTGTGAAAAAAAATGATCCTAATAGATACAAAAGAAGCATGAAAGTAAAACATTGACAAAATAAGCCAGAATGAGAGTGCTGCGTTCCAGTCTTCCTGTAATGCAGGCCTGGAGCAAATTCAGAGAAAAGGCAGATTATTCTATTGTGGGTTTGGGGTGGATTTTTTGTTTGCATGTTTGTTTCTGGTTTTGCTGGTTAATTTTTTGTGTTCTGTGTGTGTGTATAGTCTTTCCAAGTGTTTTCACAGATTGTACTCCTTGCCATTGTTTTTCACTTAGAGCAGAAAGTGACTTAAATGAAACACTCCACTGTATCATAAGGCATTTTTCTGCTGTAAAAAGAATAATAATAATAACAATAATGAAGGGACAAGATTTGTAAAATGAGTTTCTTTGCTTGTGCTTTTTTTTTTTTTAATGCTATATATGTAAGTAGAATGGGAAGTCATTAATCATAAGGAATAATCTATAGGTCTTGCAACCACCAAACAAGCAAACAAAAGATATTTATAAAATTATCCATGATCAAGAACAGCCATTGTGCCCTACTTGTGTGTGTGGCACACATTTTCATAGTATTGCATGGTACTTTTGGGAAAGGAGATTCTGGAGAGTGTGTGATCAAGCCTCTTGCTAAAAGCAGGGCCAATTTCACCATTAGATTGACTTTTGAAAATACAACATGTTCCTCTTAAGAGAAGCAGACAAAATATAGTTTGTGCTGTAGTTCACACAGAATCGTTTGAATTAGGGTGTTCACAGTTGTATTAAGATGATTAATTATCGCAGACATGCCACAGAGATATCTTGCCAGCAGTTGTTGGAACAGATATTCCCTGCTGGACTGAAAACTTTAAGGCAGATAAAACTTTACACGGCATGGCAGATGCAGCCTTCCACATCCCCGTTTGCAGGAAGTGACAAAGGCCTCATTTTGATGCCAGGAGAGACGGTCACAATTATGCAGGAGGTGTGCTGCCTTGGAGGAGCTGTGCTATCAGGTGGAGGTATTAATAGAAGAAGTGAGTAATCTTCATAGCATCAGAAAAGATGGGAGGTTTATGGAATCTTCTTTGTGATGCAGTAATTTTAAGACTGTAAGATCCCAACTAAATAAGGGAAGCTAAGTGTCCATCCTCATTGCTGGTGTATATGTAACCCCTGTAGAAAGGAAAGTATGGAAGCTGGTACCAAGAGGAAGACTCCTGCCCCATCCAAGGGCTTACACCTACAAAGGGGTTCACTGCTCTCAGTGTAGAATAGAAGCCAAAATCTGGACCCTTAAACCTAAACCATGCAAGAACATCAGGAAGGAATGACGTGTCCTAGAATCATAGAATGGTTTGAGTTGGAAGGTACCTTAAAAATAATCTCATTCTAAATTCCATGTTGTGAGCAGGATTGCCACTCAGGATGCTCAGGATGGCTCAGAATGGGCAGGGCCTTATCCAAATTTGGTCTGAACACTTCTAGTGATAGGCCATCCACAACTTAGGCATCTGTTCCAGTGACTGCGAGTGACATCCAATTTAAATCTCCCTTCTTTTAGTTTGAAACTATTCCCACTTGTCTTATCACTATCAGATCACGTAAAAAGTAATTCTCTATCTTG